CCCCCGAATTGCAAAGCACTTGGTTTTAGCATCATTTCCACATTTTTTCTGCACTTCTATTTTATATTGAAATTATTTTGATTACAAAAATTTCTCCACAGAGTAGTGTGGGTACTAAGAGAGAGTTCTATAAAGTGGAAATATTTAATAAAAATGTTGTCCCTACCTATTAAAATTATTCCATCCTGGGCTTAATAAATGAGACTAATTTTGAATTTACAGTGAACTCCTTTAAAAATTCCTATTAGGAACATTTGGATTTGTGTTCAATTGTTCCATGTGTCTATAATAATTATAACTCTCCCATCTCTCAAAAGTAAAGAGAAACCTAATACCCATAGTTATTTGTCTATCATAGGTGTTTGTGTGGTCTTTATTACCACCAGCATTGACAACCTTTGAGTGATTAAATTAATTTTCCTCATCTATACCTGTACTGCACAAAGAAACCAAGCTACACAGATTAGAGAATTTGCTTAAGGTCACTGAAAGCAGCTGTTGCAGAGCAGGACTTTGGTCTTCGCTTCCTTAGTTATTGCTCTTTGATGAGTCTGTCTAATATGTTAAAGATTTGTTTCGTCTCTTGTTGCTGTATGTGCAGAATTCCTATTAAGTCAGAGGGCTTAGAGACTTCTAGATAATTTAATACTTGGAGCTTGGCTATAACTCAAAAGAAGATAATAAACCAGCATGTCAGGTTTACAGCAAATATTCTTTCTCCAAGCTGGGCATTTCAGGAAGGAAGGAGTAAGGTAGAAGTCCTGTATCAGGTACAGACATCAAAGATTTCTTCTGAGTGCAATGTTGAAATGTGTCCATTTTTCCCTTTCTAGGACACTGTTTTGTGTTTATGGCTTAATTTCTGGTAATACTATTAAAACACCCTGGGGCTTACTAGTGGAAGAATAAACCCACAGTTCACTTGTACCAGAATGAAATGAGAATTGCCTCTGTCTAGTTCACGGAAATATAGTTGGATAGCTCTAGTTCAAAACTACTGGGCACTGGTGAGGCTGCACCTCGAATCCTGTGTTCAGTTCAGGGCCCCTCACTACAAGAGAGACATTGAGGTGCTGGAGCGGGTCCAGAGAAGGGCAGCAGAGCTAGTGAAGGGTCTGGAGTACAAGTGTGATGAGGAAGGACTGAGGGAACTGAGGGAACTGAGGGTGGTTTAGTCTGGAGAAGAGAAGGCTCGGGGGACCTTATCACTCTCTACAACTGCCTGAAAGGAGGATGGAGCCAGGAGGTGACTGGTCTCTTCTCCCAAGGAGCAAGTGATAGGACAAGAGGAAATGGCCTCAAACTGCACCAGGGGAGGTTTAGACTGGATATTAGGAACAATTTCTTCCCCAGAGGGTGGTCAGGCATTGGAACAGGCTGCCCAGGGCAGTGGTGGAGTCACTGTCCCTGGAAGTGTTCACAAACTGTGTAAGATGAGGCCCTTCGTGACATTGTTTAGTGGTGGCCTTGGCAGTGCTGGGGTAATGGTTGGATTTGATGATCTTAAAGGTCTTTTCCAACTTGGTTGATTTTGTGATTCTGTTAAAACAGGCCACAAATTGGATGATGAGAAATAAACCCCACACTAAAATATCAAGCAGGGCAGTGAGGAAAGAAGAGCTCTGTTAGAGCTTGGGAATACCTCACTACTGTTTGGACCATGCCTCTCTCTAAGCTTTTCAGTCATTTCTGTGTATTTGTGTGCAAGAACACGTTAATCACATTTAGAAACCCCTAGTAAAACAGACTTTATTTGAACAAGATGAGAATTACAAAAATCATCCTCTGCTTGTAGTGTCTAAAGAATAGCACTTTATGCAAGCCACACTGGGAAAACTTTTCAGTTAGTGCTTTTATAAGTGATTATAAAAACAATAAACATAACATTATACTGCCACTACTGTAGATCAGTGTGCCAACTACTCGCTTTTTATGTGACACTTGATTTGGCTTTCAATCTCTGCTCTCCTCAGCTTTTCCGGGAGTCAGCACTCCTGCACAAACTGTGCACAGACTGCCTCAGTGCAGAAAGAAGCAATTTCAGAGAGTCATAGAATCACAAACTGTTTTGAGTTGGAAGTGACCTTAAGTCTCATCCAGTTCCAACCCCTTCCACTAGACAAGGACACCTTCCACTAGACCACGTTGCTCCAAGCCCCATCCAACCTAGCCTTGAACACTGCCAGGGATGGGGCAACCACATAGAAACCATAGCAACTAAATGCTAATCAAAATACAAAATGGTGTTGCTTCTATTGTTTGTAGTAATAAAATCATATTAAAAAATATCCCTAATGACCACTTTAATAAAGGATTAATTCTGAATAATTCCCATTAGTTTATAAGTGAGGCAAAGTGTGGCAGAATTTGAAAGCTGTTCTGTTGCTGGCCTTTTTAAATGCTGCCACCTGTATATCAGAACAAATGGTAGATTAAAGACATCTTATTGAGAAAACAAGCTAGGACACCCAGCAAAAAGTATTTTACCTTGGTAGTGTAATTACAACAAGCTTTTATCTCTGCTTGTCATTGGCAACAGTTCAGTATCTTCATTCTTCATTTAGCTTTAAAGAGCAGATCAGTAAGCTTACTTAGCAATTGTACATTAGTACAATATTCACACTAATGGGGAAGTGGCTCTTACCCTGCATAGGTTGAGGAGAATCGTAGAATAGTTAGGGTTGGAAAGGACCTTAAGATCATTTAGTTTCACACCACTGCCATGGGCAGGGACACCACTCACTAAAGCATGTCATCCAAGACTCTGTCCAGCCTGGCCTTGAACACTGCCAAGGATGGAGCATTTACCACTTCTGTGGGCAACCTGTTCCAGTGCCTCACCACCCTCACTGTAAAGAACTTCTTCCTTATATCTAACCTAAACTTCCCCTGCTTAAGTTTGAACCTGTTACGCCTTGTCCTATAACTACAGTCCCTGATGAAGAGTCCCTCCCCAGCATCCTTGTAGGCCCCCTTCAGATATTGGAAGGCTGCTATGAGGTCTCCATGTAGCCTTCTCTTCTCCAGGCTCAACAGCCCCAACTTTCTCAGCCTGTCTTCATACGGGAGGTGCTCCAGCCCTCTTACCATCCTCGTGGCCCTCCTCTGGACTTCCTCCAGCAGCTCCATGTCCTTTTGATGTTGAGGACACCAGAACTGTACACAATACTCCAAGTGGGGTCTCACAAGAGCAGAGTAGAGGTGCAGGATCACCTCCTTTGACCTGCTGATCACGCTTCTTTTGGTGAACCCAGGATACAGTTGGCTTTCTGGGCTGTAAGTGCACACTGAAGCAGGCTCATGTTCAGTTTCTCATCAACCAGCACCCTCAAGTCTTTCTTTGCAGGGCAGCTCTGAATCACTTCTCTGCCCAGCCTGTAGCTGTGCCCGGGATTGCCCTGCCCCGGTGTAGGACTTTGCACTTGGCTTGGTTGAACTTCATAAGGTTGGCATTGGCCCAAGTCTCAAGCATGTGAAGGTCCCTCTGGATGGCATCCCTTCCTTCCAGCGTATCAATCGAACCACACAGCTTGGTGTCGTTGTAAACCTTGTTTTGTGCATCAATCCCACTGTCCATGTTGCTGACAAAGATGTTGAACAAGATCAGTCCCAACACTAAACCCTGAGAGACACCACTTGTTACCCATCTCCAGTTGGACATTGAGCCATTGACTGCAACTATCTGTGTGTGGCCATCCAGCCAGTTCTTTATGCCTCAGGTGGTCCATCCATCAAAATGATGTCTCTCTGATTTAGAGACAAGGATGCCATGTGGGACAGCATCAAATGCTTTGCAGAAGTCCAGGTAGATGATGTCAACTGCTCTGCCCCTGTCCATCAGTTCTGCAGCCCCATCATAGAAGGTCACCAAATTGGTCAGACAGGATTTCCTCTTAGTGAAGCCATACTGGCTGTCACCAACCACTTCATTATTTTTCATATGCCTTAGCATGCTTTCCAGGATAATCTGCTCTGTCTTCATTCTCACAGTCTCTGCATATGCCTTCCAAGAATCAAGGTAATTAAGTTACTTCAAAACTGAGGCCAAGCATAGCCATTTGAGTATTTAAATAATTCCTTAGAATTATATAAATATCTGTTATTTTCCATAATCTATTCATTTCCATTCGTATTTTGAGCCTCTAGTTATAGAATCATGGAATCATAGAATAGTTAAGATTGGAAAGGACCTTAAGATCATTGAGTTCCAATCCCCCTGCCATGGGCAGGGACACCACACACTAAATCATGTCACCCAAGACTCCATCCAACCTTGAACACTGCCAGGGATATCCGGAAAAATCATGTTGAGGAAGAGGATTTAGTTAAATTGTGTGGATTTTTTCAAGTACAGGGTTCCCTCCAACTGGTAAATCTCTCCCTTTTTTATTTTTCCTTTCTTTGCAATCACTTAAGACTGCCTTGTTGATTTCACACTAGACAGGTCCTTGGGGCTGACAGCCTGAAGACTGAGAATCAGAGTAGACAAGAACATTTATCTTTTAAGCTTTTTTCTTTATCACTACCTAAGCTCCCCATCAACAGCATTTTTGTGAAATGTAGCGTCTGAAGGTGGTAAAACCAGTGTTTTACCAGCTGACTGTCGTTTGGCTATAGTCATTTGGCTGAACATCCAGACAAAACTTTGAATTTGACTCCTGAAAGTTCAAATCAGATTTGTGTCAACAGATTAATTTTCCTATACTTGTAATTAATGTCAATGGTACAGAACAAGCAAAAATCCCAACTGAGTAGTGTTCACACATTTAGTAATCATTTTCTATGGGTCTGTTTTGTGTGTGTGTGGGGAAAGGGATAAACAGAAAAGAATTGCTCAGTTTCCAAATACGCCCTCATTATAGTATGCTGGACATGGGTAAACCATTGGAGTTCACTGCTTTATCACCAGGAAGTTGATTCTTCATGGTGTGAGAGGTGTGTTCCAAAATCTCAGATTTTTGGTATCACTGCCCCCTTAGTTATCTCTATATATGGTGCCATTGGCAGTATCCAAGGCTTTCCAAGGCTTTCCTTTTCCTTGAACATAATGAGCAGCTTAATTAGGATCATCATCCACTAGTGCTGTAACATCAGGCTAAACCAGCTGTGAGGTACTGGCCAGAACTTACAATAGTCTGCAGTTCCTTTGGGAGCTTCCACTGAGAAGGAAGAGTGTCAAAACTCTCTAATCTTTCTCTCTGAAGGAGTTTCTTGATTAAGCATTATCAGGGAAAGCAGCATTTACAGATTCGACTTCCATATGCTGTCATGCAGCTGGGATAGAGGCAAAGTTCCTGTCTGACATGTCTACTGGCAACCAGAGGTTGATTACCATTCTTATGGGATGATTGAAAAGAATTTGAAATATTGTTTGCATTACTAACGAGCCTTAAAATAGTGGAGTTGACATTCTGAGTATGACAAGTAGTTCTTGCTAAAAGCAAAAATACCTTTCCTTCTGTTGTCCTCATTTTTAAGGATTGTCTTTCTGAACCATTGCCAGACTCTTGTGTAACAGTGCTTCCTCCTCATCTTCACTCCACAGATTGGTTTGTTAGGGGCAGGGAGCCCTCTTAGTAAAGAAATAATCAGTGTTTATATCAAGAGGTGATACAAAGCTCCTGATGTTCAGGCTTTCCTTCCTACAGTGGTGGTATATATTTAGTTGTAAACAGCAGTGGAGAATGCTGTTGCCTTTAAATGAGCATTCACATCTTCCTTCTGTCCTACAAGTAGTTTTGACCCAAGTTATAAAAAATGGAAAAAAGGAGTTGCAGAGTATATGAAGACATAGCACATATACTTGTGGGCTGCACTGTTCTTTTCAGAAAGCTTTCTCATATAATTAATGCAGAATAAGGTCAGACGCTATGCTGAGAACAAGGACTGTAAGCACATAGATGACTAGAGATAGATAAAAGCAACCAAGGTAATAGGGATGAAAATGAAACCACTTATACGTGAATCACAAACTAAAAGACAAAAAAACCTAGGAGTGAGATACCCCAGGGAATGAATTCAGCTCTATTTTAAAGAACATTCTACTTTACAATTCCAAAGCCCTGCAAAGCTACGCATTTCCCAGAGGAAAACTAAAGGAAGAATTCAATCATGGATTTTTTATGAAGGTCTAGCTAGGAAATCATTATGTTCAAATGCAGATTTACAGGAGAATGAGAGGTGTGTAACTCCACTGCTGTGGTAAAAGTGTGCAGGTAGAGATAAATAGCCATTTCTTCCTTTTAACCCTGGATCTATGTACCATCTTGTTGCTTCCATTAACTAACATCTAAGCAACACTTTGAAAATTTATTCTGAGATTTCAAGAGGAAATCAAGCTACTAAAATGTACTATAAAGCTGTAAAGAAACTGCTGTATCAGCCAGAAAAAATAGTAGGTAGATTTACATAATTCTTTGAATAAATTGCAAAACATATGGTCCTCTTAAGTTCCTCCATAAAAACATTACTGAGACAAGATGGACACATCTGTGCTGTAGCAGAGCTGAGACCGATTCATGTTAAAGGATATTTCTAAACCTAAGGCATATCCTTCTGAGCTGTCACAGAAAGCAAACCCACTATTCCCAATAGGAACATTTTGCTTAAGTATGTAAAGAAAAAATGATTCAGAAAGTCTGTGCATTTGTGAACTGTGGACCAAATCCTGACTGTGTGGAAAGGTTACGTGTTCCCATGTCCCAGATGTAGACAAGTCCTCTCAAGTACCTCTTTTTTTGACAGCTCTTGGAGGAACAAACATCCATGAAATATCCTTGGACAAGAGAGTCATCTGCAGTGCCAGATTTATTAGTAGTTCTACCAGATATTTTTACTTGATGTTTCAGGAGAGTGTTTTAACATGCAAAGATTCTTTATGCCCAGTGTACAGGTGGTGAAACTCTAGCAAAAGAGAACTGAATGAGACTGACCAGTTAATCAATGGCAAGACCAGGATTCAGTCTGGTATTTTATAACTCCTGCTGCAGATATCTCTGCTCAGGACCTTCCTTCTTTGTTACGAAAGAGATGAACTGATTCCCAGGTGCTCTCTCAGTTTAGGAGTGTCTGCATCCTGATTTTTAATTCTGCGTCCTCAAGAAAGAAGAGCTACCTGCCTGTTTTCAATCAAGTTCGATTTTTCCTTAGAATAGTGTACTTTACTATCTAGCTTTTAGCTCAGGACTCCGTGGGTCTGTTTTAAAGATAGCTGCCTATATTATGCAAGAATAAGTACAGCACGCTTTGAATAACAAGCTGCTGCCTGTGTCTGAGCACTACAGGCTTTTACACGGGGTTTTGTAATTTATACATTGAATGGAAGGTTAAAGATGTGTTTGTTTTTTTTAATTCAGCAGGGTCATTACTTCTCCCAGGAGAGGTGGAACAGACAGTGACTTACTGTACACCCTTTTTTGATAAGCCCATTCAAATGAAGTCCAGGACCTTGTCAGTTCCCCAGCTGTTGGACAGCAAAACCCAGGAGGTATGAGGTCAAGTTTATTTAAACATTGGCTTCTAACATTATTTCCACAAAAACAGAGAGATAAAGATGGAGCATGTGGAACTGCTGTAAGTTAACAAGTCACATAACTGACTTTTTACATTAATAATTAATTCAAAAATACATTAAGAATTGAGATAAAAACTCTTAACAGGAAGCTACTATTTTGTCTTGCACAGTGCTACTATATAATCCTACATTTTCAAAATGTGTACTTCAATACTTTAAACTGTATGTGGGCTTTTTAATATTTAGTTGGTGCAACTCACAAAATATTCAAGTAAACTCTTGCACTTCCTGACTTTTTAACAAATCATTACTTAGGTAGAATGATGGGCCATTTAATTTTCCAGTGATCTCATGATCTTATGACATAATACAATTTTCATTGGGCTGAAGAAAGGAAACATCTTCTGCAACAAAGAGTTACTGAATGATCCCTTTAATGTGATATTTAAAAATAAAGAAGGTTTTAGAATATACTGTGATCAGGATTGGGATTTTCCCCTTGGAAATAAATAGTAGCAAGATGCTCCTGAGAATATATATTGTCTAGGTCTGGTGTGGAGAGATTTGCCTTATGGAGTGTGAGTCTTTTAATAAGTCACAATCAATAAAAGCTTTAATTTAGAATGGCCATTTTCCCTCAGAACTTCAGTTCTTTTCAAACTTCCAGAAGGTGTGCGTGGCTCACAGGTTGATTTTAAGTCATTAAGCTTCCTACCCAAATAGAGTGTGAACATTAACTTTTAGGGATTTCTCTTGCAGAGTTCTTCACCACTCATTTTGCCTGCCTGATCATTGTAATAGAAGCAGAAGTTAGGTTCTGGCTAAAATGGGCCAGTTTTTATAGTTTCATATGCTTATTGATATCCTATGAGGCTTAAATCAAGTTTATAAATGATGCGTTACTGTCGTGGTTCAAGCCCAGCTAGCAACCCGGAACCACGCAGCTGCTTGCTCACTCCCCCCCCACTCCTTCCTCCCTCCGGAAGCGGAGGGATGGGAAGGAGAATGGGAGGAATGTAACTCCCACGGGTTGAGATAACAGCACTCCGGTAACTAAGGTATAATACAAACCACTACTGCTACCAATAATAATGATAAGAGGAATAACAAGGGGAGAGGACACAAACCGCTCACCACCCGCTGACTGATACCCAGCCTGACCCGAGCAGCGATCTGGGCCTTCTGGGTAACTCCCCCCAGTTTCTATACTGGGCATGATGTGCTGTGGTATAGAATAGCCCTTTGGCCAGTTTGGGTCAGGTGTCCTGTCTCTGCTTCCTCCTGGCTTCCCCTCCTCCCTGGCAGAGCATGAGTCTGAGAAAGTCCTTGGTCAGAGTAAACATTACTTACCAACAACTAAAAACATCGGTGTTATCAGCATTGTTCCCAGACTGAAAGTCAAAACCACAGCACTGCACCAGCTACTAAGAAGGAGAAAAAATGACTGCTGTAGCTGAACCCAGGACAGTGACCAATGAAAGTTTGATGTTACAGAGGGCATATGTTACCTTCTTTCCTGAGCTCAGTTGCATTTAGTTCTTTGCAATAAACTCCTTACCGTAAGGAACAAGTCTGCTTTGGGAAAAAGTAAATGTTCTAAAATAACCTTTCAAGCTTTAATACCACCATTTTGTGAATAAAAATGCTGACTCTTTTCCCTAAGGACTGATATAATTCAAGGTTTTTATCTTGACAAATACCCATTGGCACACAAAAAAATCAACCTAGAATGAAGTTTTATAGTTTTCTCATCTGATAACTTCTGTTTAAAACCAAAGGAGAGTTGTAACAGCCTGCAGAGTTCATAAAGGATTGCATATGACTCTTTAAACTATAATTCATGAAAAATAGATGAAAATCCCACTGCATGCAAAATTCATTTGCATTTGACGAAAAGTTGCTTTATGAAAGAGAAACTGAGTACTATTATATTGGTTAAGGGTTCATAGAATCATAGAATCACAGACTGGTTTGAGTTGGAAGGGACCTTAAAGCTCATCTAGTTCCCCCCCCTGCCATGGGCAG